AGTTTTGGGCACCACAATTTAAGAAAGATATAAGCAAGCTAGAATGTGTCCAGAGGAGGACAACAAAGACGGTGAGGGGTCTGGAGACCAAGTCCTATGAGGAAAGGTTGAAGGATGCTTTAGCTGGGAGAGGAGATGACTGAGAGGCGGTATGTAGCCATCTTCAAGTACTTGAAGGGTTGTCATACAGAGGATGGTGCCAAGTTGTTTTCTGTTGCCCCAAAAGGTCGGACCAGAACCAGTGGGTTGAAATTAAATCAGAAGAGTTTTCGGCTAAACATTAGGAAGAACTTCCTGATAGAGAATGGTTCCTCAGTGGAACAGGCTTCCTCAGGAGATGGTAGGCCCTCCTTCTTTGGAGGTTTTCAAACAGAGGCTACATGGCCATCTGACAGCAATGCTGATTCTGTGAACTTGGGCAGATCATGAGAAGGGAGGGCAGGAAGGGTTGCATCAGTGTTCAGTTCTCCTGGCCCTTTCTTACATGCCCAGGGAACAGCTGATCACCATTTTGTGGTCTGGAATCAATTTTTCTCCAGGCCAGTTTGGCCAGGGATCCTGGAGGTTTTTTGCCATCTTCTGGGCATGGAGCAGGTGTCACTGGGGGTTTGTGGGGGGAGGTATTTGTGAATTTCCTGCATTGTGCAGGGGGTTGGATTAGATGACCCTGGAGGTCCCTTCCAACTCTATGATTCAAGGTAGGGTTAGTGTCTTAATAATTCAAATTATTTTGATTGATTGATTTAATTTCTACCCTGCCCTCCCGGCCAAGGCTGGCTCAAGGCAGCTTACACAGAACAGCATAAAATTACAATGCACCTAAAACAGATTAAATAACAACATTTAAACATTCAAACAATTCTAAAACCATTTAACCATAAAATATAATAAATTGCTAGTGTCAGTAATTTCACAGCAGTTGTTATTACTCAGTTCTCTCTCTTCACAGTTGGCTCCTTGATCTTCTTGGATTGTCTTAGGCGGCTAGCTCATGCTGTAGTTGGAAATCCCAGGGGGGACCAGACCTTCTCAGCTTAGGCTGTCAGTTGTTAGGAGTGGCGGCAGCCCCAAAGGCCTGGTGGAAGAGCCCTTTTGCAGTTCTGGGAGCTCATTCCACCAGGATGGAGCCACCACTGAGAAAGCCATGGCCCTGGTTATTGTTAGCCTAGCCTCCTTGAGACTCAGAAGGGCCAACCGGTCTTCGGTCCCTGATTGCAGTGCTCTCTGGGGTATATGTGGGGAAAGGTGGTCCCTCAGGTATGTAGGTCCCTGGCCATAAAGGACTTTAAAGGTAAGAACCAGCACCTTGAAACAAATCTGGTATGCTATAGGCAGCCAGTGCAATGCCTTTAGCACAGGCTGGATATGCTCCTGAGTAGGGAGTCCCATCAAAAGCCTGGCCGTGGCATTTGGTACCACCTGAAGCTTCCGGATTTGAGACAAGAGCAGTCCCATGTAGAGGGCATTACTGTAGTCCAATCTCGAGGTGACCATTGCGTGGATCACTGTTGCCAAATTGTTGCATTCAAGGAAGGGAACCAGCTGCCTGATCAGCTGAAGGTGATAAAAGGATGATTTGGCAGTGGCTGCTACCTGGGCCTCCATTGTTAAGGAGGCATCTAGGAGCACTCCCAAACCCCTAACCTCCAGTGCTGGCACCAGTGGAGCCCCATCGAAGGTCGGGAGCAGGATCCCTACCCTTGGACCAGCCCGACTCAGGCACAGGACCTCCATCTTCATCGGATTCAATTTCAGCTGACTCAATCTAAGCCAACCAGCCATGGCTTGCAGTGCCCGGTCTAGATCTTCCGGTATGGAGTCAGACTGCCCACCCAACAACAGATAGAGCTGGGTGTCATCCACGTACTGGAGACATCCCAGCCCATGCCTCCGGGCAATCTGGGCAAGAGGGCGCATGTAGATGTTAAAAAGCATTGGGGACAGCACTGCCCTTTGAGGTACTCCACATTCCAGTGGGTGCCTCTGTAATGTATTGAAATGAT